CACATTCATCATTCGTGTTATTTGTGTCGATGGAGGATCTAATGTCTTAAATTTATCCCATACCTCAACCATTTTGTTACAGGAGATGGATCAGCTTGGTGTCAGACCAAACATAATCACATTTAATACAATTATCCATGGATTATTAAATTTCCACGATTTTAAAGGGGCTGAAAGATGTCTTGACATTATGCAAACCTTTGAGATAACCCCGGATGTTAGAACTTTCAATATTTTAATGTCAGGATACCTAGATATTGGAAATGTGCGAGCTGTAGAAAAGATTTACAGTAAAATGCTCAAGTTAAAACTTCAACCAGGCTTAGACACGTATCACACATTAATGCTAACACTTATTCGGATGGGAAAACCACAACAAGCTCTCAATATTATGGACTATATTATCATTCGTCGTTTACAAGTTGTAAGAACTTTCAATATTATCATTAATATGTACATCAAAATGAAGGATTTTTCTATGGCAAGAGAAACACTTTCTCGGATGCATTCGACTGGCCTACATCCGGACGTGATAACGTATAGCACCTTCATCTCCGGATACGTAAATGACCAAAATCTCGACGAAGCAATGAGATATTTTGACGAAATGATAAAGCAAGGGATTACTCCCAATTTGTTTGTGTTCAATATTCTTTTAAAAGGATATTTAAGCGTACATGGAATGAAAGGCGCAAATACAATAATCACGCGGATGAGCGAGCATAACGTTACTCCCGATCAGGTTACATATAATATCCTTATGCGATACATCAAAGAAAGGAATCACGACTACGACTTTGAAGAGGCAATGAGGCAATATTATGAGATGCTCGATAAGGGATTTAAACCTTCTAATCGAACGTTTAATACCATCTTAGGCCTGGCAATGAAGAAAGATATATACGAGAATAGATTTAAATCTCGCCTTATAAAATATAATAACGATCAAATTAATAGCAAATCAAAAAGCGCCATGGAAATAATTTTGACAGAAATGATGAAGAATCATTTTGTTTTAGATGTTGTTACATATGGCATTTTAATGAAGAACTTTATACACTACCAAAATATGGAAGGGGCAGAAAAATTGATCCAAATAATGCAACACAACGCGGTCAAACCAAATCAAACCACCTTCAATATATTGTTAGATGGGTACACCAAAATACCTGATATGGATTTAGCAGAAATGACGGTCAAAAGAATGCTCAGTCAAGGGTTTCATAAGACCATTCATGTTTATCACTCGCTCATCAACGGTTACGCTAATTCTGGTAATACCGAAGCAGCTTACAAAGAATTTGAAGAAATGAAACAAGTTGGAATTACGCCCGATAATATTAGTTACACGTCTTTGATAAACATGTTTGCTAACAATAGACAAGTAAAACGAGCTCAACAAGCATTTGACTACATGCATGCACAGGGAATTCGCTTAGATTTGATTAGCTTTACTGTACTTATGAAAGCTTATGCGTCAGTAGGTAATGTTAGAGGTTGCCGTTCTATATTCACCCAGATGATTTCAGCAGGTTACGAACCGGATGGTGCAGTGATATTGGTCATGCTTAATGCGTATAATAATAGCGAGGATATCAGTGGTGCAATTGGTTATTTAAAAGATCCTCTAGTAATCAGAAATCTTGACACCTGGCATTATAACATTATATTAAATATGCTTGCTCGAGATAGATTTCTGGCAAGAGAAACATTCCAATTGTTCATGAAAATGCTGTGTAACAACGACCAACAGTCAGATTCGTCTTTAATGACTGAACAATCTGATAACGGAATGAATGCTTCGATCTCGCCATCGACACAAATGTTTCCACTTCCTGACATTGATAGTGTTCACATAATGGTGAGTCACTTTAGCCGGAATCAACAGTGGAGTTACATAACAAAGGTGTGGAATGAATTGTATAAAAGAGGAATCTCTCCGCGTTCCGTGGATTACATTATATTCATGAGAGCGTTTTCTAAAATCAAGGAAACGGACAAAATGGTTGAGGTATGGGATAAATTTAAGACATTAGATCCTCCATCGACACAAATAACACGAATGATGAATGTGGTCCGGGATTATGGTATTCGTGCTGGGCTAACCGAAAGTAATGTATATAAGGGTTAATGTAATGAACTTTAAAGTATATGATTATTTTATTATTATTTAGACTTTTTGAATATTTCAAATTGTAGATATTACTTTATAGATTGTAAATTTTAACTTAAATATTGTATGAATATAATTTAAAATTAAATTTTATAATCATTTTAATTTTGATAATTTCAAAAACACAAAGGTTAATAATATATTATAATTTTTTTATTTTCTATTAATCTCAAAAAACAACAAAATAATTTTATTATATTACATAAATATAATATATTAATTAAACAATTTTATATTAAATCATGTATATATATTGTATCTGTATAAATTAAAATAATATTTTTTTAAATATAATATTTATACATTATAATATTTATTTATTTAAAAACAAATCTATATATATTAAAGATATTATTAATTATTTACAGTAGTGACAATAAATAATAACAATCAAGTGATCGAATAAATATATTCTATTTTTATCTTTAAAATCAAAATTTTTATTATATGTTGTTTAAAACATATTTTATATTTTTAGTAGTTTGTTTTACTATTCTTATTATTTATTATTAATTTTATTTTTTTAAACATTAATTATATTAATCTATAATATAATTCTATATCAATTTGCTTTTATTTCTTTTTTATTACTCTTATAAAATTACTTTATAAATAAAATTTTTTTTGATAAATTATAAAATTAAAAAAAAATTTTTTTAATATATTTTTTTTAGTAATATTTACAAATTCTTAATTAAATTAAAATCTAAAAATGAAAATAGTCAATTAAAAACATATAGATATAATTTTTTGTAAAAATTTTATTATAATATTTAGAATTATTATTCTGTTAGAATATATATTTGTAATTCAAAATCATATTAATTTGTTCAAATAAATTTTAAACAAATATTTTATAATAAAGTTTTCTATTTATAATTATTATAAAAATATAAAAACCAATAATTCTTTTGATACAAAATAAACTTTATATATAAATTTTAAATAGGTATTTTATAGTCTTCAATTGAAATTAACTTTTTAATTTTATAAAATATTTAAAAAATTATTTTATATAAAAAAAGAATTTTCTTTATTATTTATTTTTGTATTTTTGTATTTAAATAAGTTGATATTTTCAAATTACTTTATTAAAAAAAAAAAAGATTTATCTTATATCCAAATTTCTAATAGTTATTTTAAATTATTTATAAAAAAATAGTAAAATTGTAATAAATATTATACTTTTAATAATTAATTGTTTTATATTTTAAAAAAATTTTAAAAACAATATATTTAATAATTAAATGATACTGTTACTAAAATTTTTGAAAATTTTATTAACTTTGGATAGATACAACCATATATTATCAATATTTATTAATATTTATTAGTTTTAGCTATATTTTCTATATAATACTTTCTTCTTTTCTCCAAGAATTCTCAAAACGCCTATATAGTTTTGAACGGCACAGCAAATTCGGAGCGCCGTAGCTCAAAAACGAAATTGCGAAGCTTCTTTGAGGTTCTAAACAATTATTTGCAGAAAAACCAAAGAAACAACTTTTGTTAATATCCCAAAAGCGATTGTCTTATTAATATTTTGAGTAATTTCACTTTTTATCTTACAGATGAGAATTTTCTTTGATGATTATCCTAAGTGTAACAAATAATTTTCTAGCTAATTTTTTTGTGTAAATAGATGAATCACACATAAATAATTAGATTAGATGTGACCAACAATTGATCAAAACATTATAAAAAGGCTGCAATTTTCTCCAGCTGTGAAAAAAAGAACAATTATCATAATTTTAAAATTCTG